TCTGCATAACATTTGTCCAGGACCTTCTAGCTTTCATAGTCTCTATCGAGAAGTCTGGTGTTACTCTGATGGGTTTGCCTTTATATGTTACTTGGTCTTTTTCCTTTGTGACTCTTAATATTTTTCATGGTGTCCCAAATTTCCTGGACGTTTTGTGTTACGACTTTTTTGTTTTTAGTGTTTTCTTTGACTAATGAATCTATTTTCTCTATTGTGTCTTCAGTGTCAGAGATTCTCTGTCCCATCTCTTGCATTAGGTTGGTTATGCTTGTTTCTGTAGTTCCTGTTCATTTAGTGCCTTTTCCTGGAACTCACTTGGTAGTCCAGGCTGGCCTCGAACTCACATCACAGAGATCCGCCTGGCTCTGCCTCCAGAGTGCTGGGATTAAAGGCGTGCACCACCACCGCCGCTGGGCGGAATGTTTCTTTCATCTGTTTAATTACTTTTTCTTGGCTTTCTTTGATTTCTTCCAATTTTTTGTTTGTTTTTCTTCCATTTCTTTAAGGGAATTTTTTTTTATTTCCTCTTTAAGGGAGTTTTTCATTTCCTCTTTAAGGGAATTTTTTATTTCCTCTTTAAGGGCCTCTATCATCTTCTTTTTTTAGGATTGATTTCTTCTGTTTTTTCTGTCTTGGTATGTTCAGGTCTTGCAGGTGTAGAATCACTAGGTTCTGATGTTGTCATATAGGTCTTTATGTTGTTGCCTGTATTTTTGCACTGGTGTCTACTCATCTCTTCCTCTGCTCGGTGCAGGTGGTGTCTGTATTTGAAAGTGCCTCTCTTGTTCTAATTTTTAGTCTTCGTTCACTAGGAGTTCTTGGTTAAATTGGTGCTGTTGAGCTCTGTTTCTTCGGGAGCAGCTTAGTCAAATCAGTGTTAGTGGGTTCTGTCTCTGGGAGCAGCTGTTCCCAGTTGGTGCAGGGTGTGCTTATGGTTTCAGTGGTTGTTAGGTTCGTAGGGGTTAGTTTTTTTTGTTTTTTGTTTTTGGTGGGGGAGCAGGGAAAGGTAGCTGTCTGGTCTCTGAGACTCCAGTGGGTAGGGCCTAGGGGCTAGGGACCTGATCTGTCAGTCTGGAGATGGGAGCTTACCTGTTCTCAGTCGGTGAAGTGTATACTTAGGATTCTGGTGTTCTGGTTTGGTGGCTGGGTGGTACGTTCTTCTGTGTTCTCAGGTCACGTTTTGTTCATTCATCAGCTCCTCAGCTGATCTTGTTTCCTCAGATTTCAAACTGTAGGGTTCTGAATCCTCTCCCGGATGGATTTCAGCTGAGCAGGGTAGTCTTACCAGCACCTCCAAGTTGTTGGGTTTTGCAGGATCAGCAGCTGGGCCCTGGTTGGCCTCAGAGTGTTCAGATCAGTTCTGGTCCGTCCCACGGAGATGGCTCCTTCCCCGGGTGTTGGGATTAAAGGCGTCCCTGTCCCAAGCTCTTGATTAAGAGCTTGTTTTCACTAACTCTTCAGTGGGTAACGGCTCAGTGTTTGGTCTTTATTGCAACTGTGTTTCAGCCGCTGGCCACCGCCGCCGCCGCCACCGCCACTGCGCCTGCCTGCCTCTGCGGGCCACTGCTGTGCCTGCCTGCCCCTACATGCATTTTTGATGAAGCACCCTGAAATTCTCATTCCAGGGGTAACCCTCCTGGCAACTGCCAGCAAAGACTGGCTATTTCCAGGAATCTTGGCATATATTCCCTCCACCTCTTTGGCTAAGTGTAATATCATCGGTCAGTTAGTGTGAAATTTAACTCTAGTTACTATCAAAGGAAGCAGGAGTTGGCTCTGAGGGGGATGCCTTTGTGGAGGGGATCCTGCAGCACGCCACCGCCCAGAGACATCTCCAGTTTGGTCAGAATGAAAGCTGCTGTATTAGCTACTTTGCTGCAACAAAACACCTGAGAAAACAGTCTAGGAAAGGAAAGGTCTATTTTGGTCCAAAGTTTAAAGGTTCAGTCCGTCGTGGTGGGGAAAGGCGTGGTGGCACAGACAAGGGGCAGCTGGTCACATTGCATCCACAGTCAAAGAGAGAGCAATGAATGCTGCTGTCAGTCTGAGCCCAGTCTAGTGAGTGGTGTTGCCCACATTTAGGATGGGCCATCAGTTAACCCAGTGTAGGAAGCCTTTCACAGACATGCCTAGAAATTTCTCTCCATGATTCTCAATCTGTCAAGTTGACATCGAGATTAACTTCCAGATGCCATTAAACAAGTGTATACTGTAAAAACTCTGCCCAACGCCTGTGCGTGCCGGAAGTCACACAGGTGCACGTGATAGTAGCTAAGGCTTACTGAGCTCCTGTGGGGTGCTAGGCCCTCTTCCACATACTCCATTTCACCCTTCTAACAGCCTGTCTGAAGAGGCTGCTATTTTAAAGATACTAATTTTTGCCCCACTCCGGGTTTTCAAGGCAGGGTTTTTTTGTATAGACCTGATATCCGGGAACTTGCTTTGTAGACTAGGCTGGCCTTGAACTTAGAGATCCTCCTGCCTCTGCCTCCTAAGTGCTGGGATTAAAGGCGTGTGCCACCACCACCTGGTAAGATTTTTGTTGTTGTTTTTTGAGATAGGGTTTCTCTGTGTCACAGTCCTGGCTGTCCTGGAACTCACTTTGTAGACCAGTCTGGATTTGAGCTCACAGAGACTCACCTGCCTCTGACTCCCAAGTGCTGGGATCAAAGGTGTGTCCCACCACTGCCCTGCAAAATATTCTTTAAAATTATTTTAATAATACCTTTAAAAATTGTGTGTGGGGGTATGTGCATACAAGTGCAGGTTCCTGTGGAGGTAGAGGCCAGAGATGCCAGATCAGCCTGGAGCTGGAGGTACAGGTGGTTGTGACACACCTCACGTGGGTGCTGGGAACCGAACCTCTGCTGAGCCAGCTCTCCAGCCTCCTTCCAATCATCTGCAGTAAAGAAACTGAGGCATGCAAAAATGACTTGCATGTGTGCACACATCTAGAATAATCAAGGCTTGGACTCAGGCAGCAGGTCCCTCTAAACTTTATAATAATTTATAAATATTTACAAAAATAATTACAACAATTGTTTTTGTGTTGTGTGTGTCAGGTGATGCACATTCACGAACTTGCAGAGGCCAGAGGAAGATGTCGGGTGTCCTGCTCTAGACTCCATCTTATTCCTTTGAGACAGGGTCTCTCACTGAACCTGGCAGTCAGCAAGTCACAGCAAGTCTCCTGCTTCCATGGCCCAACCCTAAGCGTTGGGGTTACAGGTACCTGTACCACCATGTCTATCTTCTCATGTGTGTTCTGAGCACTTGAACTTAGGTCTTCACGCTTGACCACCACACACTCTCACCTTCAGAGCCATATCCCCAGCCTCCCTCAAGGTTTTGCACTCAGCTCTCACCCTGCACATCTCTGGATTCAGAATCTTCTAAAAGAACCATCATACCATGCATCTCTTGTTTTATTTAAGGGAAACAGTTAAGACTATTCTTTGATCATTACTGTGTTCTTAATGCAAAATTGCAGACGTCTGCCTCAGAGATCCACCATCCCACACCTAGAAGTTGTTTAATTTCTGCTGACTATTGTTTTCCCTCCCTCTTCTTTTGGATAGTACAGTATTTAAACCTTTCCATATGCTAATGCTGCAGCACCACGAATTACCAAGTTATCAAAGCGATGATTTTGTCTACATGTTGTCTACATGTCGGAGGAGCATCCTACCTCCTCTCTCTGGTAGGTATAACAGAATTTTGCTGTGGTTCCCGACCTTCAGGCCTTCACAGCCGCCCCCTGGTTTCCACAGTCTATGTAACTTACCATCTGTGCCTTTTAGCCAATGATTCAACCTCGGTTCACTGCATATGCCTGGCCCAGCGTAAAAGAGCCTGGGTGCGGAGAGACAGCTTCCAGGCCCACCTCCTCCAGCTTTGAATTTGGCATGGTCTTGGGCAAGACCCTCCTCAGGCCTAACTTTTACCAGGTGTGAAATACATGGATCAGCCCCAAGAACCTTTAAGTGTGTGACTGAACTGTGATTATCTCTGAGTCATAAAGAATGGGTGCTAAGGTGATGTCTTGCTCACAAAGCCATTTTTTTGTTGAAAATGAGAAACTCTAGGTAGGAATTTAAGTGGGACACTGGGTAAGGCCTGGAAGGATGTGTGCAGAATAAACGCACGGCTATTTCTAGGCAGGGGGTGGGCGTGGCGGGTGGTTGAGCCCGAAGAGGGCAGCTGAACATCCCTGCAAACCTGAGCGTCTGCAGGCTGAAGCCCAGGCCGAGGCCGGTGGGGGACCGCTGCTGCAGCGGCTGCGCACTGGCTTTACCAGCCGCTTCATTTGCGTGTCTCCGCCCCTGCGACAAGATGATTGGAGGATCCCGGTACGGTGCTGCACTCTGATTGGCTAAGCCACCCGCCGTTCAGGCCCGGGAGCGGACGGTTCCTACTGCGGCTGGGCACCGGCTGGGCTCCCGCGTCGGCCCCGCGTTTCAAGCTTGCGCCCGGCCTAGCCTCAACCCGGCTTGGCCCGGCCCGGGCCTCAGAACGAAGGCGCCGCTGCCGCTGGGCCTCTCGCAGGGCCATGAGGAAGCGGCGGCAGCCCCTGTGGCCCGCGTCAAGGTGACCAGCCGGGACTGCGGCGGTGAGAGAGGCGGTGAGAGGAGCGGCTGGCGGGG